GATAAATAAATAACATTTAATAAAATACTTATTACTTCCACTTAGTACCCAGAAACCTAAAAGGCCAATCTCTGATTTTGCTTAAATTGGCTTTGGGAAAATTTTCAGAATCATTTAAACATTATAATAGCACATCCACCTACTAGACATTTGATTTTTCCATCCACTTTCCTTAGTGAGTACAAGCAGTTCTTATCCAAGGATCATTAAGAGGATTAGGCTGCAAGAATGGGGGTGGTAAGGAACAGAAGAGTTATTGGCCAGAAAGAAGGGAAAATTGTACTATTAATTGTTCAGAGGATAGCACATCATTCTACACATGTAAACACTCAAGGTAAAATATGGCAGATGAATAAAGAGCTTCTGTATAGAAGAACTATAAACTTTGGCAGGAACCACTGTGCTGCAGTAGTGAAGAGGCCTCCTGCTAGGGGCTGCAGTGGAAAAAGTGACCTCAGAGAGGAATTCAGAATAGAAATACTCAGCAAGAGATGAAACACCATGAAGTTTTGGTTAAGTCATTTGGTTCCAGACTTATAAAAGGGAAAAGCTGTTTTAGTAAAAAATAAAAAATAAAAAAAAAAATGCTGACTACATGAACTTTGCAGATTATTCTTCTATTCTAATTGTAAATTTGAATTCCAAAGTACCTCTTCCTTCATGTTCTTGACAAGAGATCTATAGTGTTTAGTAACTTATTCTTCTAAAGAGGCTCAGCCAGGAGAAGCAAATACTTAGTCTGGAGCCATAGGACCTAGCTTAGCGTTCCACTGAGCTGCCCTAGCACAGAGGGCACATTGATTAGGGACTCCAGAAAAGAAAGGCAAAGGCAGCACCAGAGAGAAATCCTCACGTGCCATTTCCCTCTTTCATGCCCCAGCTAAAGAGGGCATCCCTTTTACAGAAAAGTTTATACTGGCATACCTTGGACATATTGAAGGTTCAGTTCCAGACCACTGCAATAAAGTAAATATTGCAATAAAACAAGTCATACGATTTTTTTGGTTTCCTAGTGCATATAAAACTTACATTTACACAAACATGTAGTATATGGCATCATGTCTAAAAAACAATGCATACACCTTAATTTTAAAATACTTTATTGCGAAAAAGGCTAATAATCATCTGAGGCTTCAGCAAGTCATAATTTTTTTGCTGGTGGAGAGTCTTGCCTTGATGTTGATGGATGCTAACTGATCAGGGTGGTGCTTGCTGAAGGTTGCGGTGGCTGTGGCAAAGTCTTAAAATAAGATACAATGAAATTTGCCAAAATCATTGACTCTTCCTTTCACAAAAGATTTCTCTATAGACTCTGATGTTACTTGATAGCATTTTACCCACAGTAAAATGTTCAAAATTGGAATCAATCTTCTCAAACTCTGCTGCTTCTTTATTAACTAAGTTTATGTAATTTTCTAAATATGTTGTTATCATTTCAACAGTGCTCACAGTATCTGCACAAGGAGTAGATGGAATCTACTCTTTGCTCATCCATAAGAAACAACTCCTCATATGTTCAGGTTGTCTCATGAAATTATAACAATCCATTTATATCTTCAAGCTTTGCTTCCAATTCTAATTCCCTTGCTATTTTTACCACATCTACAGTTACTTCCTCCACTAAAGTCTTGAATGCTCAAAGTCATCCACAAGGGTTGGAATCAACATCCTTCAAACATTTTTACCTTCTCCCATGAATCACAAATGTTCTTAATGGCATCTAGAATGGCAGTTCCTTTCCAGAAGGTTGTCCATCTACTTTGCCCAGATCCATCACAGGAGTAACTATCTATAGCAGCTACAGCCTTACAAAATGTAGTTCTTCAGCAATAAGACTTCAAAGTCAAAATCACTCCTTGACCTTATGGAATGGATAATGTGTTCACAAGCATGAAAACAACATCAATCTCCTTGTATATGTCCCTGGGGCTCTTGGGGGATCAGGTGCATTGTCAATGAACAGTTTATTTTGAAAGAAATATTTTTTTCTGAGCAGTAGGTCTCAATTGTGGGCTTAAAATATTCAGTAAACCATGCTGTAAACAGATGTGCTTTCATCCAGGCATGGTTGTTCCATTTATAGAGTATAAGTAGAGCAGATTGAGCATAATTCTTAAGGACTCCAGGATTTTCAGAATGGTAAATGAACATTGGCTTTAATTTAGTCAACAGCTGCATTAGCCCCAGACAAGAGAATTAGCCCATCCTTTGAAGTTTTGAAGCCAGGTATTGGCTTCTTTCTAGCCATGAAAGTCCTAGATGGCATTTTTTTTTTCAATATAAGGCTGTTCTGTCTACATTTAAAGCCTGTTATTCAATAAAGTCACATTCAACAATTATCTTAGCTAGATTTTTTGATAATTTACTGCAGCTTCTACATCACAATTTGCTGCATCACTTTGCACTTTTAAGTTATGAAGACAGCTTCTTTCCTTAAACCTCATGAACCAAGCTCTGCTAGCTTCAAACTTTTCTTCTGCACTTTCTTTACCTCTCTCAGCCTTCACAGAATTGAAGAGAGGTAGGGCCTTGCTCTGGATTAGGTTTTGGCTTAAGGGAATGTGGTAGCTGGTTTGATCTTCTCTGCAGACCCCTCAAGCTTTCTCCATATCAATAATAAGGCTGTTTGACTCTCATTCATGTGTTCACTGGAGTAGCACTTTTCATTTCCTTCCATAACTTTTCCTTTGCATTCACAACTTGCTGTTGGCACAAGAGGCCTAGTTTTCGGCCTATCTCATCTTTTGGCATGTTTTTCTCACTAAGTGTAATCGTTTCTAGCTTTTGAATTAAAGTGAGAGATGTACTACTCTACCTTTTACTTGAACACATAGAGGCCACTGTAGGGTTGTTAACTGGCCTAATTTCAATATTGCTGTTTCTCAGGGAATAGGGAAGCCAGAAGGGAGAGAAACTGCAGAAAGCCTGGTTGGTAGGGCAGTCAGAACACACATAACATTTATCAACTAAGTTTGCTGTCTTATATGGGCACAATTTGTGGCACACCAAAACAATTACAATAGTAACATCAAATATCCCTGATAAAAAGATTACCATATCAGATATAATAATCATAAAAAAGTTTAAAATATTGCAAGAATTACCAAAATATGACAGAGAGATACAAAATGATCACATGTTGGAAAAATGGCATCGACAATCTTGCTTGAGGCAGGGTTGCCACAAACCTTCAATTTGTAAAAAACACATTATCTCCAAAACAGAATAAAGAGAATTGTAATACAACAAGGCATACCTGCTTGTATTAAAGCAGCAATACATATCTTTCACCATCAGCACTTAGCCAGTATATCCCACCCCATCTACTCCTACCCCAAACAGCCTTTTATTTCTAAATATAGATCTACATTTCAAGCAAAGCATGAATCAAGTCACCTATTTAATGTCAGTATAATTTTAGAGGCATGCCAGAAAGAAAAAGGGGATGTGAGTATGTAAAATTTACTTATATTTTTATTTATGCTATTTCCCACAGATTGAAAATAAATGTTCAAGAGCATCACTTCTCCAGCCAATCTACTCTTAGTAGAGTCTGAAAATGCTGTGGTTATCTAGCAGTGCCCTCTGGTGTCCAAATGAATTGTTTTATTTGCCTTGAGGGAAAAAATAAGCCATTATATAATCAGACATGTCTATAATCAGCATTCATTCATTTGCCAAGTATTTACTGTGGGTTTACTATATGTGAGTTACTGTGCAAAGAGGCAGGATACAGAGATATATTAAAAAATACATGATTTCTTGTTATGTTCTTAAGGAGTCCAGTCTAACAAGGAGACAAATGTAAACTCAATTACAAAATTACTTAAATCACTTTATCTAGTTTTTCATTAAAATGAGACACACACAGCTGGGTGGCCTCCCTTTCCAAACAGTTCTGGGCCATTATTCATGTTAGGATGTATCTGGCTGGCTTTGGACAGAACAACTTTGGTCAAGTACACATTGGCCAAAAGGGAATATTCTGAAATAAACATAGGAAGACATACAGCAGGATTGAATCCTAGTTTTAAAGAGTTGAGAAAGCACCTTTCACAGCCAATCCCAAATGACACTTTCGGTTTTGTAGTTATATAGGAGCCCACTGGTCAACAGATTTGACACACAAATCTGACATTCATTATCCTTACCCTTCTTTCAGAAAATGCTATTTTCTGGAATTATAATGAAAGACCTCAAAATTAATCAAATGAGAGACTTAACAAATCAAGAGACCCTAAGAATTTATCATAAACTGTTTTAGGATTCTTAGGCCTGCAAATTTTCCACTAGAGTCACCAAAACATGTATCGTTCTGAATAGGTGCATCTTCATGTCTTCTAGGGAAGCAGAGGGAGCCTGAAGGAGTTATGGAGACCTCCCACCAAGAATAAAAGTGAAATTCAAATACCATCCAAGGAAGGAGTCACGAATGACTACAGATGAAGAATGATGCTTTATACTATTTTGTGTTGGTCCTAATTTTCATCATTTTTTCCATTCTTGTTATTGTTGTTTCCTAATCAGCCATGAAACCCTAGTGTGTAGGCAGGACGTATGACCTGCTTCCAACCAACAGAAGATGGCAAAGGTGATGGGATGTATGTGATTACATTATATAAGATTATACAGTCCATCTTGCTGAGACTCTCCTTTGTGGGCTTTGAGAAAGCAACCAGTTATATTGAGAAGGCCCATGTGGTAAAGAGTTGAGGGTGGCCTCCTGCCAATGGCACATAAGCATTGAGCACTCTCAAGGAACTGAAGGCTACTAATAACCATGTGGGTGAAAAAGCTGACCCCTCCCCGGTCAAGTCTCAGATGAGACTGGAGCCCTGCCCAACACCTTGACTGTAGCCTCACAGAGGACCCAACTAATCTGTGCCCGGGTCCCTTACCCACAAAAACTATAAGATAATAAATGTGTGCTGTTTTAAGTTGCTACATTTGTGGTAATATTATTTTGCAATGATAGATAACTAATACAGATTTCAAGACACTTTTTAATTTTAAAACATTTTTATTATAAAAGTAATACAAATAAAAACATTAAGAAAAGACAAAGTCATCCATTTTCTGCCTCCCATCCCACTATAACCGGTTAGTAATTTGATTTACTTTGTTATCTTTTTATAGAATGCTTGGTCTGTTATTTCAGCCATGATTACATCCACTCATACACTTTTCCATCTTGCAATTTTTACTTAATGTAACATTTTCATGCTTTTAATAATATTCATTACTAATTTTTAGTAACTACATTATGTACCATTTGTATATATCTGTTTATTGACTATTCCTTAGATGCAGGGATGCAAACTATGGCACCACATTTGTAAATAAAGTTTTACTGGAACAAAGCCACGCCCATATTGTTTATGTATTGTCTGTGGCTGCTTTTGTGCTTCATACAGCAGTGTTGACAAGTTATGACAGAGACAGTAGGTTTAAAAACCTAAAATAGTTACTTTCTGGCCCTTTATAGAAAAAGTTTGCCAATCTTTACCCCAAACTTTAAAGTGGTTAATAATTTGGGCTACTAAAAGTAATGTCACTTGGAATATCTTTGTGCATATAATTTTTCATACTTTGTACAATTTGAGAGACATTAACAAAAGTGGAATAACTGGGTCTAATTAATGAAGACATTTTTAAGGTTCATACTCTCCCACACTCTTGTAACATTCAAGCTATGATATGTGATAAGAATGAAAAGGATAGCCCAGAACTCTTGTAGGTAACATGTCTCTGGTTCCTGTTACTCAAGACACTTAAGTTTACACTCTGGATGAACATATTTTGAGTTTTGATTTAAAGTTAACCAAAAAAGAGAAATGACAGTAATTGCAACAGGAAGACCAATTGAAAGAAATCTTTTACTTTCTACTGGAGAGGAAAAAGCAGACAGAAGTAGGTGACAAGGTATATATAAAATGCCATTCTAACATAGCTGCAGTGGCCAAAACGCACTGGGGAGAGTTGAGTAAGAAAAAGAGATGGCAGTCTCAACAATGAGCTGGCAGTGGCAGCAAGAAACAAAGAGGCAACTATGAGTGTGGGATGACAAAAGCAGCAGACAGGTCCCACCCATTTGAACACATCCTAGGCATAAACCTGTATACAACTATAATTAAACTGTCTCTAGATAAGAAAGTTTTAAAGAAATCACTCTATATTTTTTAAGAAGGAGAAAGTCTTCTATTTAGGGAAGTTTTATTCTTCAGAATGAAAACCTTATGGAATGGGGAAGTCAACCCTCACTATTTAAGTCAACCCTGACTATCTCTGAGATAAAAGCAGTCTGATGGTTCTCAAATCCAATCTTGTATGAATAAAACAAGCATCAGGAAACACAGATGTCATCTTCTAAGAGAAATATTCTGGAAAAAAAAAAAAGATCAGGATGGACTTTTCTCCAATAAACAATGTAATCCAAAAGCAAAATTAGAAAGCTATTTAATGTAATTATCCAAATTATGCCAACAAAGTATGTAAAGAAATCACATATAGCCCATTTATCTTATTAAAATGTTCCTGTCAAAATGTCAACCAATTTAACATTTCTTAAAGAAGCGTTTTTTAGTTACAAGTATTGTTAGCCTTTACATTCCACCTCAGTTACTCACTAAATAATTAAACGCATGATGACTTCATAAAATACTTTGGAAAACCATGAAATTCTCCATAGAGTAAGGAAATCAATTTTTTTGCAACAATAACTAGGAACACACTACTTTGAACAAAATATAACCAATTTTCTGAGGTATGAAAATCAATACTTTTTTTCTTGAATTTTCCCTATGGCAAAGGAAGTGGCAGTTCTGTGAATGACTTGAGTCACACTTAAAATCATGTCATAATTTTCCTCTTTTTGTACTTGTTGCTGTCAGTTACCTCAAAACTGACCTGAGGGTCTGGCAGCATAAATCCATCAGTAAGTTTATAATAGACTATTGTAGAATCAGACTCCACTATGGCCAAAGTAAAAGACATCGGCAAATCTGGATCACCTTGCAATTTTCGAGATGCCTTCAAGATCTCCCTTATCCTGAAAATAAAGTCACAATATACTTAGGAGTTGCGGTCACTCAATTAGACTAGATGTGACACAGAAGAAAGCACTAGAAAACTTGAAAACAGGTCACAAGAAACCAAACTGAAGTACAAAGAGAAAAAATAATTTTAAAAAATAACATCAGACGCTTCTGGTATAGTATCAAATAAGTTTAACATACACATCATTGGAATCACAGAAGGAAAGGAAAGAGAATGGTATATAAATAGTTGACAGTTTTCCAAAATTGATGTCTCTGAATCTGAAGTATATCTTTTATAGACAGCATATAGTTGGATCTTGTTTTTAGCTCCAATCTGACAATCTCTGCCCTTTTGAGTGTTCATTCACATTTAAAATTAACATTGGTATGGTTGGATTCATGCCTGCCATTTAGCTATTTGTTTTCTATATATCACATGTCTTTTTTCTTCCTCTCACCCTCCTTTATCACCTTGTTTTTCTATTAAATAGGTATTTTCTAGTACGCCATTTTAATTAATAATTTTTTTTTTTACTATAGTTTCTTGAGTTTCTTAGTGGTGACTCTAGAGATTACTATTGTGTCTTAGTTTATCACAATTTCTCTCAGCTTAACACTAACTTGATTCTAAAAAATATAAACTGCTCCAATAGAGCTTTATTCCTTTCCTCCTCCTTTATGCTATTATTGTCATATACATTTATATATTTAAACCCAGTAATATAGTGTTATAATTATTACTTTATATAATTTTCTTTTTATAAAGTTAAGAGGAGAAAGGAAAATATATTAGGGTCTTTTTACATTCACATATTTAATATTTCAGGTATTCTTCATTTCTTCATGTAACTATCTGGTGTCACTGTTTACTCCAATATAGCTTCATTCCTTCCCCCATCCTTTGTGTTAATACTGTCATATAAGTTACTTCTTAACCTGCTATAAGCCTGGTCAGTTGATTTTTGACAAAGGTACAAAGGCAATTCAACGGAGAAAGTCTTTTCAAGGATACTTGAAATGAAGATAGTAGTATACCCTTATGTCTACACATAAGATTATTATATGAATCAATTAAATGGCATATATGAAAAGACTTCGTAAACTGTCAAGTGGTCATATTATGTAGTACATATACCAGCTTTGCTACCTTGCAAATTGAGATATAATATTTATAGATAACCCTGCCTCCATGATTATTGCTAAAACTGAATACTAACCCAAACATACTAAGGTACACTGTGCCATTAGTGGAATTACAGAAAATGGTTATTTTCTGAAACAGTCTGAATCCCAGAAATTGACTTAGTCCTTAAAAAATTATTTCCACCTATGCTGAACTATATTACAATTAGCTAGATTCTTATTCATAAGAATGATTTACTTTAGAGAAAGATATTCTGATAAAGCAACTATAGATATTAATCAGAAACTTCATTACTCAGCACTGACGGGAAATCACACTGTGATAAAAGGCAGCATATCACAATTGATTCTTCAACGCAAATCTTTTAGTAGCTAAGTATTTTCCTTCTTCAAAAGTGGCACACCAATATCTAAATTAATAATAATAGAAAAAGATCAATTTTTATAGGCTGTCCATCTTGAATTAATTTTTTTCTACAAAGATGGAAAAGAAGAAACAGACAATGGATCAACTAAAATTTTAACTTATCTACATCTTTTGTTGTCAGCATGTATCATGATTACTTCACAGTATGCAACATACATAAAACCCAGTGTATAATGCACATAAAGCCACTTCAATGCCACAAGATATATTTCTCTAAACATCCCCAACTGGTAGACTGTGATGAGAATGGGACACAGACAAGAAGGAAGCCTGTTAACACAACTTTTACACATTTTCCATTTCTGAAGATATAATGTTATTTAAATCAGAAAGTGTGTTTGTATGTGTGTGTGTGGGGGTGGGGGGTGTTCCCTAAGGAAAACTTTATGGGAATTCTAGCCCATACACTGCAATTTAGAATAGAAATTTCCATCTTATTCACTACTCTTTTTCCATTCTCAATTTATATTTGTTTCTGGAGTTCTTTGATTTAAGCGGCAAAACATTTTCATACTTACCCCAAATACCCACGCAGGAAACCCTAACATTTGAAAACTAACTCAGAGTTGTAAAAGGGGTTTTGTTTTCAGAGTTGAGAGAAATCACTGTCAAAAATGAAATGGAAGTTCCCATTTCTGAGGCCTTGTTTATGGTACTTGGTTGGCGGGGGGCAGGGATTGTGAATTACTAGTGAATCTTCTCGGTAGTAACAGAAAAAAATAGTTCATCTGCCTCTGTTACTCAAAGTACACTCCAGAAGTCTCACACAGTTTCTTGTTCAGGATCTCTTCTAGTCGATTTTTCAAGTATGTTTAAAGCAAAGCCATCATCTTTTCCTCAACAAACAAGAACAAGACCTTTCTTATTTGCTTCCATTATAGGATATTGCATAAAATCCTACAAATGTTTACTTTGCCTTTTAGTCAACAGGTTATACTTTCTCAATCTATTAATAACAACAGTAAAAAAAGATTTTGAAGTTCTTAAAAAAACCACATATGATTGTAAAGATCCCAAGAACATTTAAGTATCACCAGACTATAATTTCATTTAATTTCTAACAAGCTTATGGCTTGAAATCTTACTTTAGAAATGACAGAATATTTCCTTATATGTATAAATTTTAATAGCTCAGTTCTTTGGAAAAATATTGTGACAACATTAGAAATATTGTATGTTTCATCACACAAATCTACAATAATAAATGACAAAATTCTTTATAGTTCATACTGAATAGAAATCAACATATGAAAAATATCACCTATGTATTAATAATAACAGTTTCAAGTTTTAAACTCAGTTATATCTAAAGGGAAACATCCCACCTAAAGAAAAATATATATCAAAAATAATAGCTATTTTATTAACAGTAACAAAATTTGATACTCACAACAGGTGTTTCTTTCTCATAACTGTTCACAGAAGAGCTCTGTGTACAGAAAAAAAATTATTCCAGAGCTTCATATATCTAACTTGAAAACAAGCTGAAGCAAATACACAGTCAACACTATTTGGCTAATACCTTCAGTCCAAGCTATTTAAATGCTTTCCATATAGCATTGATTTTTCTACAATGATTCTAAAACAGAGACTAAGTAATCTCTGAAGATTTACAAAGAGGACAAGAAGTTGAAGACCACATTACTTTTAACTTCAAATGCTATTGAAATGAATGTATCATGGGTTAAAAGTAGTATTAATTTCAACCCATAGAAAGTATCTCTTTCTTTGCTCTTCAATGTGGCCAAATAATATACGCTATAGCCTTATTAGTAAAAGAGAATAACTCCTTGATTTGCCTCATTATGATATAATGGAATGACATACCATAATGCAACTCTGAAACATAATGCAAAATTAAGTTGGTGCCAGAGGCACCAAAGAAGCGTTATTCATCCACAGGCTCGGTTCCAAAGAAAAGTTTCAGGGATAACAGACTTCCTCCTTGAAATTCATGCCAATGCCTTCCTAGTAAAAAATCAAGGCAGCTAAAATTCCAAGGGGGTTTACTGAACAATCAAGCTATCCACCCCAGTGGGAAGTCATTCTGTAATAAACTGCAAGCTTTTTTTTAAGGGTAAGAGAAAAAAAAAATGCTGTATCAGTTAAAAGAAGCTGCCAGAATTGAGGGTTTCACCAGCAGCAGATTTCTAACAGAGGTAAGGTGAGGACACACATCCTAATATGCAGAGAGGCCAAATGACAGAAGTCATTTTGCAGTTATGAGACTTCGGGACTCAAATAAAAAGTGGTCATTATAATGAATTTGTAATAAGGATTATGCTTTCAGAAAGTGGCAATATTTTTCCATTACAGGAAAATAATAATGGATGGTCCTTCAAGAAAGTATGTAGCATTTGAGGATTAAATCTCATATCTAAGAATATCTGCAGAGACGTTCTAAAGAAAGAACTAGTTCTGGTAACCCTTTACTCCAGAATTAATATTAAGTCCTTTTCCCAAGGCACTAGGGAAAACGAGGGGTGAAAGGGCAGAGAGAATATAAATGAAAAGAAATTCAACTAAAAAGTAAAGAGGTTATTCATAACATTGGCAGGTTACAATGTAAAGCGTGGAAAATGGTGATAAATCCTGCAAGTGGATGGATTTTGCAGATACGTGTGTGTGTGTGTGTGTGTGTGTGTGTGTATTTGTTTGTTTGTTTGTTTGTTTGTTGTTTGAGAGAGTCTCGCTCTGTCACCCAGGCTGCAGCACAGTGGTGTGATCCTGGCTCACTGCAACCTCCACCTCCTGGGTTCAAGCGATTCCTTTGCTTCACTATGCCTCCCAAGTAGCTGGGACTACAGGCACACACCACCACACCAGCTAATTTTTTGTATTTTTAGAAGAGACGGGGTTTTGCCATGTTGGCCAGGTATCAAACTCCTGACCTCAGGCGATCTGCCCACCTCAGCCTCCCAAAGTGCTGGGATCTGCCCACCTCAGTCTCTGCTGCAGGAACACAGTTAGCCTAAGATAGCTTACCCAATCTTTTAACAAATACTTACTTAGCACCATGTACGAGGTACCAGGTTAGACCCTAGGGATATACCAATAAACAAAACAAAGTTCTCACTTTCAGGGAACTTACTTTCTAGTGGAGGAAAACAGACAGTAGATAATCAAAGAAAACCAAATACGCAATAGGTTTACTAGCATTAATATAGCAAGTGTTTTAAAGGAGGACCACTTAGTAGGTCCAGGAGGTGAGATAATAGCAGCTTAAGCGAGAGTGGTAACAGTTGTAGAGAAGTGGTAAGACATGGACAGATTCTGGATGTATTTTTAAGGAACTGACAGGGTTTACTGATAAATTAATTTGGGGGTATGAGAAAATGGAAGAACAAAAACTAAGAGATTACAGCAAGGTTACAGGATACAAGGATAATATACAAAAGTCCACTTTATTCCTATATATCAGCAATAAACAACTGGAATTTG